ACCCACCTCTGTGCAGAATATTAAATCTTCCACACAAATGCACACTGCACTGGTAACCTGCTTTGGTCACTGCTCTCCCCTCTCCTTATCGCTAACTTAAGCTCAAATCAAAAGTTTCCTCAGTTGTTGTTTGTACCTGAGTACACTGAGATTATTTTGCAATCCAGCTTTCCTTCAGAAAACTATGATTTCAGGTAATGCTGCCAAATATCACATTTCATTCTGAACTGAAGGGCTTTGAAGCACTTCCTTTTGCAGTAAAGTTGTTTATTTTCAAAAACATGTTTTAGCAATAGCTTTGAGCTAAAACTCAACTATGAGCTAGAACTCCAAGGTTCTAGGCTTGGCCTGGGGACTTTTTCATTATGTGACTTTAGAATGACTCTGGTGTCATCTACGAAATGGCAAGAAAGGATTCATTTCATGCCAGAAGCAATTTCAGAGGACCTATAGGGGAACGTATGGGCTTCTTTTTCTATAAGATTTGTACCTTTTGTGTGTGTGTGTGTGTGATATCTCATAACAGAAAATATTTAGAAGGTGAATTCCAGATAGTCTCAGATTTAGTCTTAAGAAAACTGACACACTGTCTATTTACAAATCTGCACAACACTATAAAACAGAATTTCATTATGGTTAATGAATGGCTTTGGGCTTAGCCTTTTTCAGTCTCCAGGAAAGAAAAAAAAGAACCACTTCATTCATAATTGTAACTCAAAGGGTGGGAATATACCTAGACTCTGACAAGGGCGTCACCACCAGGCCTGCTCAATCACAACTGCAGAAGTGATAGGAGTGGACTTCTTATCTGTGTCTATGTCTGGCAATCTGGAATGAAGTTCAGTAAAGGTGATTTACAGGCCAATAACCCTGGACTGAAGCCAAACGCTAGCTCTTCCCCCTCCCACATACCCCTAACCACATACATACAGTGTTAATTAGTGCCAAGAGGAAGACAAGGTCCTTATCACTCTATGGAGACAACTGAGATAACCAATGAGCATTCTCCTTCCTTAATAAGGAGAAAAGGTTTTGTACCTAGGTGAGACATCTGGCACTTCAGATTCAACTCAAGAGCAACCTTCTGTGCAGATTACAATTACATGGCCTTGAATAATCACTTTTTTGTGCCTCAGTTTCATTAACTAAAAAATGGGGCTGGAGAGACAGAGAGGAAGGAAGAATACTATTTGACAATCTAGCATATTATTTCATACCTATTGAAATTGAGGAAAAAAAAAAAGAAAGAAAAGGAAAGAATCAGAGATACCTATATTTTTCAAGGATCTGGAAATCATTTTGCTTAGGTCTACAAAATTTATAGAAAACATTGGGCTGTTTCTCTCAGACCATGTAGTAATTAGAAGGGGTTTGTAATGTATCTTCAAGCAAGAGAAAATGGAGCTTCTGATTGTATCAGTTGATAACTGTAAGCAGTTCACAGTAAGGTAGGAGGCACATTTGGCGGAAGCCAATATTGCACTTGATGTATTCTTAACACAGCCAACAGGCAGGCTTTCAAGCCATGTTATCTGCCCCCACATCTTGACCTAATTTAACAAGTTGCCATGGGAGCTCAGTGAAGGTTGATGCAATTTTCTTATCTTTGGAGAAAGAATGTAACTGTGCAAGAGAATGTGAAAACTCAGTTGCTAACTGATTTCCACACTTACAGTGCAGTAACTAAGACATCATATGAAGAAGTAAAATGTATTTCTTTCAAGGTGATATGGACAAAGACCTAGGCTCCTAGTGTAATGGCAGGAAAACGGATTCTCTTCCCAGCTTGGAGAATCTTGCACATGCCCGTTAGATCAGGTGAAGTAATCCTGACGTAAAGGTATTTCTACCATGTGGCCACACTTACTCTGGAACAATCAAATTTTTAAAGGAACAGAGAGAAAAGGAGGGCAGAACTTGAGACAGAAAATAGGTGTGACTTTTGTGAGCAATAAAAAGTATTGCCAACACTCGTACAATGATTTCCCCTTGCCAGAGTACTTTTCCAAATTTCATCTGGTCTTAACATGTCTGCATAAAGCCAGACACCAATTTGTAGGCACTCTACTCATTGCCTGTGGTAGTGGACAAGGCCGAATGGGTCTATTCCATCCCCTTCTCCACTTCCCAGGATGCATCTGAGATGAGAAGGGGCCACAGTGCATGTGCAGGAGCTGCGGAACAACCAGGCAGGGTCGGCTGTCAGTTCAGGCAGGAGGTGTTCTCCAGCATCAAGTACAGGAAAAAAGGCCAACAAAATCTGGGCTGCTCCCCACACGCCTAACAAATCTCTTCATTCAGACCACAGCAATAAGAAAATCCAGTTCAAGTGTAAAGATATTTACAAAATCATGAATTTGACAAGGGCCACTGTCTTATCTACACTCCATATGTGCTCAGGCATTTGCTGAAATCATTGATTTGTTACAATGCAAGGTTTTTCCCACCATGACTAGCACAATGTCTAGCACTCATTGGTTTAATTAATTGATCTAGTTCAATTATATTTTCACAGATCTTCTACCACCAAGATAAGGATGAATACCTCTACTTCACTAAAATTAAAAAAGGGTACATGGCAAATTTGCCTAAAATCACGCAGTGTGTTAGAGTTGGGAGGGAGCACACAGGACTTCTGTTTTCTGGGCTATTGTTCTCACCACCATCTGAGATAGTATGAAAAGTTAAATCTCCAATTATAAAGAAGAAACAACTAAACAGTAAGATGTTTAAAAAAAATTTTTTTTTTCCTTTTTGTCTTTTTTCGTGACCGGCAACGGATCGCAACCCTCAGTGTCGCGCCCGTACCGGGCCGGGACCGGCAACCCTCGGTGTTGCGCCCGCACCTCGCTCAGCCAGTTAGCGGCCGGTCTGCATGTGGGATCTGAACCCTCGGTGGGAGCGCCGCCGCGCTCTCAAGCGGCGCACTGTAGCAGTGCGCCACCGGGCCAGCCCAAAAAATGTTTTTTGTTTCAAATGACTACTTCAGTCTCTGAGACCTTTAACTTTTAATCACCCTCCCTTTTCTTCCACTCACTGAATATCTTATTCCCTTATTCCATGTCTAGATAAAGGAGAGAAAGAAGGAAGGAGCGGGGGGGGGGGGGGGGGGGGGGGGGGGGGGGGGACAGGCAAGCACCTATTAAACAATCTGTCTGAATAAGGGGGTGACCTCAAACATGACCCGGATCTCCAGAGCACAGCTTCCATGCACCACAAGAACAGAAGCGAGTACTGCTAGTTACAGATGGATACCACCTCCAAAGCCCACAAAATCACTTTAGAGCTACCTTGGCCTTTTCTCTCTCTTCCCAATTAAGCAGCACTTTCCCCCTCCTTCAACAGTATATCCAACTGGAGTATAGTTCTTCAAACACCCAGGAGTAACAACTATAGAAGCTGGCCCTCTGTACATCGTGAGAGAGACTTAATACATGTTTTCTCATCCCAGATGTCTTTAATGGAAACAGGTAAACTTTCTAATAATCTGCTGTCTGGAGATGGGAGAGGACTCCTTTGAAAAGCAGCAAGTTCCCACATACTAGTCATGTTCAAGCAAAGACCATGAGGATGCTGTAGAAAGAATAAAGTAGGGACCTTTAAGTTCCTTCTCTGGCCATGACTCTCTGCACAGACTTTGTTGTCATCCCAGAGCATAGACATGAGTCCTGAGCACTATTCATGTGACAAGCTGCACTGTGGGCATTGGGTCACACACCATAAGGGACATGCTCCTGAGCTTTGCAGGGGGAGTAGTTCTTCTGAACATTTGAGTTGTTCTCAAGGTCAGTTTTCCTCATAGAAAACCTGAGGCTTCCCTGAACACAGGAATGAAGATCTAATACACTCGTAAGATCAGATGGATACCTCAATAGAAACACGTATTTTGTTGACTGTCTTCATCCACACAGAGTCCCCACATGATACCTGTCCTGGGTGGAGGGAATTATAAAAGAACAGAGGCCTAGACCACATCTGAGCAATCAAAGCTTAAAATAAGCTCTGCTCACAACACACTTTCTAAGTTTTAGAAAACCTACAATCTTACAGAAAGGATCTGATGCTTAACACGCTAGTGGTCCTCAGACATACTCTTAAAACGTTTCTCAGGGGGCCGGCCCCGTGGCTCACTCGGGAGAGTGCGGTGCTGACAACACCAAGGCCACGGGTTCAGATCCTATATAGGGATGGCCGGTTTGCTCACTGGGTGAGCATGGTGCTGACAACACCAAGTCAAGGGTTAAGATCCCCTTACCGGTCATCTTTTTAAAAAAAAACGTTTCTCAGGATAGGTACCAAATGTGCTACAACCTTTGAACAATGAATTGTTTTGCTCTATCACTAGATTCCCAATCAAATTCCAAGCTCTCAACCTATGTCTTCCTTTTTCTAGAATCATTCTTTACTCGCCACTGCGGTAACTATAACTTTCACTCCTGGGAGAAGATCGATAATAAATCTAAGTTGGAGAAAAGGTGTCCTATATAGGTCAGGATGGATCTGGACAGGGTTTAGGGCCACTAAGGACACTGTTCTCAAATTTGAACAGCCAGCCTAACAATACTGTACTACTGAAGAGTCCAGCCTGTAGGCCACTCAATCATGCCTTTGAAAGATGCTGCTGCTGGTTCTGTATTTAGAAAGACCTCTCAAGAGCAGGCCAGGGAAAATCCCTTGATGCCAGGCCACCAGACACAGTTGCCAGGAACACCAAATCATTATAGTTCCCTTCCCCCAGAGACAGAAAAAGGTTCAAAATATAAATTTTCTACCGCTCTTGGAAATGACTTCTTGGGATAGAATGATACTATTTGCTTCCAAAAAACAACGGCTATTCACAAGCAGAGTGGCTTAAAGAGTGAAGACCTCTTAGCAACTTCTCCCCACTGCCCCCAAAAGAGTCTGTCCTCAGTCTCTGGATAGATGCTCCCAGAGCCTTCTACTGGCCCTGCCCACAGAAACATGTATGCAGAGGCTGCCTGGGTAGGGAAGTGGCCTACCTGTGTAGCCAGCCAGGGCAGCAGCGGGAATGACAGGCTTGTCCTTGTTGAGGTCAGCACGGTCACGCACATAGTCCTTGAAGGTGCCCTTGGGCTTGTGGTTGGGCAGGGCAGCCGGATAGTCCTCTGAGTCGAAGCTGTCATAGGAGGGGACGCGCTGCAGGCTGTTGAAAGATGACTGGCTGCTCCAGGACTGGGTGAGGCGGTCACAACTATCGTAGCTCTCTATGCTCTCAAAAGAGTCCTGTCCCCCGAGTTTACCTGGAGGTAAAGGAGGAGGTGGGGAGAGGATAGGAGAGGAGGGATTGGGAAAAAACAACTGTAAAAACCCTCTTATGGGGTACAGATTGCTAATCAGATCTGAAGGAGGGATGGGAAAAAGGAAGGGCCAGTGCGAAAGGAGAACCCAGGGATTATGGGTTGACTCTGGGGGATAGGGGCTGCCCTGGGCCACAAACGGACCACGCAGTGTCACACCGCTGCCTTGTTCTACAGCTCCTAGGATGGAGACTCAGAGTCCAGTGCTGCTCAAGAATTCTATAGCCAGGAATCTAAAAGCTGAATGAGCATCACACATGTCATTATGGGATTTCCGGATGATGTATTAGACCCAATGAATAAATGAAAAAATCCGGACCAGTGTCAGATCAAATTTCCTATTCCAGCTCAAGCCAATGAGATGATTTCCAAAGGCCGAATTTGGCAAAATATCTTGGTCATAAGAAAAAAAAATTCCATTAGACTAAGAGCAGATTGACCTTCCTTGACCTTGGAACTAAATTGTTAGTTTTTAGCATTTTTCCCAAATACTATTTTAAAATGAAATACGTATACTGCTTCTATTCCTTCTCAAATAAAGAAAGAAGTTATGAGATGCTTTTTCTGGGAGATTAAAAACAAAAACAAAAACACTATCCCTCTTCTAAATAGAAAACTATATTCTTTATCCTCTCCAAGTACAATTCCAAGTACAATTCTATACTTGAAATTTATACTTCATTGGAGAAGTGTGGGCAATAAAAAAAAAAAAAAGAAGTTGATTAAAGAGTTAAGGTCCATAGCAGTGTCAGAAATCCTTTACTCTGTGAGTTGCTTAAGGCATTCTTAACTGACCACAAGATCATGCAAGTTCATTAATTTCCCAAACCAGGTTATAAACAGCTGCTATGATTGCACAATAGCTCCTGGAGAAATTTCCACTGGCAAAGATGCCATTAAAAAGGAAGCTAACAAAAAAGTTTTGGAGGAAAAGAAATGGATCTAAGAGCTAAAAAGGCTCACAGAAATGTTTTCTATATTCTGCTTTCAGATGCTTTTCAGGCAACCTAAGTCAAGTCACAGGAGACTAGACAGCCACCTTAACTCAGCACAAGCCGAGAGGTCAAAGTGACAAACGTTTATGTAGAAATACCTGTAAATCAACACTCAATTGTTCAAATTTCAAATCCCTCAATTGTTCTAAATTTCAAATCCCAGAGTAAGGGTGGCTTATACCACCTCACATCAATGTGCTTCCGGTTACCTTCCCTTCAAAATGGCAGGGATTGGTTAAAACAATAAAATTCAAACATAAACAGGTGCCCAAACTAAAATTAAATATATAGAAAAATATGTTACTCCCCAAATTTAAAAACTAAAACAAAATCCCAGATAAAACGTATTCAGTCGAGTAGTAGACTTTTTGTGTGATCCACTACTGTAGACTTTCTGCAAATACTGTCCCCTCCAGTACTGAAAGGTGGTGTTATTCGCTTGATCTCATTCCTCCCTCCACTCATCCACTCAAAGGCGGGTAATCTCCAGAAAACGGACTGAAGAGCTGCGTGGAGTTACCAGCCCTACCTACTCAGTCCCCTGTCACATTTGCACCTCCTTATAATTAGCAAAAATGAGGTAGTTGTCCCTTCCAGAAATTCACATTAAATGACTCAGGAAAATGGTCCACAACTAGAATGCCATAGCTTCTTTTTAGCACAACAGGACATTTTGTGGCATTTCATAAAAAGGTGTTTGCTCAAACCAGCTCTTGATCTTAATGCCCATTCAAATTCTCTGTGAGACAAATACCACAAAAGCCTAAGAAAGAGAATTCATATTTTCCATGAAGAACACCCCACCAGATCACCAATATTTAGGCAATATATATGCTTAAGTCTCTCTGAAATGATTCTATCAGCCATTTTTATAGTTGGAGGGCAAGGTGATCATAATTACCACAAGCGAGATAGCTGAGTTTCCACAGAGTCCCAATAAGCAAGGGCGTTAAATACGGCATAACTACCCTGGCAACCACTCAAACATGAGCCAAATGCAGCACCACTGAGAGCTGTGGTTTATAACAGCCAGCTGCTTTCATTTTAGCCCTACTTTACAACCCTGGAGCTGGGAACCTTCATTTATTGGTATTTTTTCCCCAAAATGGGTCAAATCCAACTGGATTAGACACTCAGTTATGCTACTGGGCTCATACAGAGAAGCCTGGGTCCTCTAAGATGTCCACTGGCTGGCTCTTCTGAGGAATTCCTCAGCAAGTTCCTTTTAAAGCTATCTGAACCCACCAACAGAACTCAGAACACTCAAAACAGGAGACGAGGCCACTCCACAGCAACCCACTCAGCAGACCAGCACAGAGACAGTCCTTAGAGTCCAAACAGGTAGGACATGGAAGTACTTTGTATGCAGCCTGTGAACACTATGATTACTATTGATAAAATCAGCTAACAGTGATGCTGTCAGTTTATACCAGTCATACCACCTCAGATTTAGCGGGGCCTTGGAATACATCCTGTTAGCAGCACTTCTAACATGCAGAAAGCAGACCTGCACAGAACGGTTCTTCCCTCAAGTTTTTGCAGCCCGAAGCTTGGAGGGAGGGAGAGAGGGAGAGTGGAGCCAGAGAGTACCTCCTGTGCCTTTGTACGGGTCACTTTCAATCCATACTCATTAGTTTGGGGTGGTGGGGAACAAAACCAAGAAAAAAGGAAAGGAGAGGGAGAAGGGACAACTGCACAATGCAAAGCCAGATGCAATTTTAAAACAACATGACAGGAGATCCGCCCAAAGTTACAACAGGCTGAGCCCCAGCCCACCCTCAGCCTCCTTGCATGGATATCCCCATAAGAAGGAAAGTTGTCCTACTGCTCTGACCTGCCTGAGAGAAAAAGCACACACATGTGTGTATGTATTTAAATAGACACGCATGCAAAAATTTAAAAAAGAGTCAGAAAGGGGAAGGCAGAGCTGGTCCCACCCATCCCCTTCGGTCTGAAACACAAACACCCTGGGGCCCTAAGAAGGAAGATAACGGGTTCTGATTTTTCAGGGACTTTCCCTGTGCAGGGTCTGTTTGTATCCCAAGGCCTTCTGGGAGGAAGTGCGAGCCTACACTCGAAGAAGATGACAGTGAGTATGGCCCTGGATGCACGTGGGGTGATTCTTCAAAGAAAAGGTGCCTTTGGCTTCTCCTCCAAGAGCCTCAGAAGAGGCACCACACAGGGGCAGTCACTGAGCAGAATTCACTTACAGGCCAGCCCACATCTGCCTTCTGTGACCAACGGCTTCTGACCACTACTTGGGTTAGCTTTCTCCTGTTCCTCTCCCTGTTTGTAATCCTTTCCCATTTAACCACCAAAAAAGTCATGTTTTTCAACGTTTTAGAAATCACCTAGCTCTTCCTGAATGAACAAATCCCTTCTTACGACAGACAGCTCTTTTCTCAGAAACAAAGCAATTTGGATACTTTACTGGGTGGGCTGCACCTCCGAGCATTTATGTTCTGATCTTAAAAATCAGGTGTATTTTCTCTTTTTTGCTTTATGTCAGCCAGCTCTATTTTGAAACATTTACTTCACTGTCAGTGAATATCATTATTATAATAGTCATGTCAACAAAAGCACTTTCTTTTGGAAGCCTCTGGCCACCTCTTTCCCTGTTCCTCTAGCTAAATACACATTTTCACCACACTGGTGATGACTGGTTCCAAATAAACCATTGGTTAACCGTCTTGTATCTTCCCACACCAAAGAAGTTACAAAAGGCTAGAGATCCCAAGATGAGCAGCAGAGGTCATTCTAGGTACCAAACCAGGATCTATGGTCTGACCCAGGAATAATCTGGGAGAACCCCGAGGACACACGCAAAGCTTTGGGCTTTCCAGGATGGCTGTCTGAACCATTTTTATTTCATTGTATCCTCCTCAAGTAAAGTCTTCTCAAATAAAAATAGACCATAACTTTTAAAATGACCAAATTTGACGACAGTTATTATTTGGGTAAAATAGTTTACCCAAATAAGACATATGATTGTTTATCTTGCCAGATTTGAATTCTGCCATAGACTCCATGGTCTTTATCATCATGATGGACTTGTCTAAAATTCCAATATGAAAAGTTATTAATATCTAGACAGTCTAAGAAGGAAAGCCTGAAACTGAGGAATCTATAGGGCTAATAAGCGAGGGAAAAAAAAAAAATGGGACGTGAAAAATTCACAAAGTTAGGTAACTCTTGTAAACCCAAACAAGAACTTTTAGAGAAGAAATCTGACATACCACGACTGGTCCTCCCCATGCACATGTTGTCTGGAGTTACAACTTCTTGTTTGATGGCAAAGTAGTCAGTTTGCAAGGTGTCTGTCTGGAGAGGGTCCCGGAGAATGACCGAAGGGTAGTCATTCTCATACTTGAGGGAGAGGAGCTCCTCCGAGCTGATGGGGTGGAGTGTCTGGTAGGACTCTGTGATGAAACTAGGCTCTGAGAACTCTGATGGAGGCACACACTGAGCATGCTCGATGCCATAGCCTGGAAACAGAGAATGCTTGGAATTGAGAAGAGGAGAGATCTGTACCTAAAACAAGCAGTTCTTCACCATCTACAATGACCCCGCAGTGTGGACTAAGCTGGCTACCTTAGACAGCAAAAGGAAAATACTGTAAGTCAGAAGGGCTTATATTTTTAACCTTGCTCTACTACTTACAAGCTAGAAATGCACACTTGTGATGGTGGCCTTAATATGTTTGACAAGATATTTCTCTTTCCTGGGCTGAGCCCATAGCGCACTCGGGAGAGTGCGGTGCTGGGAGTGCAGCAGCGCTCCCGCCGTGGGTTCGGATCCTATATAGGGATGGCCGGTGCGCTCACTGGCAGTGAGCACCGTGCGGCCAGTAAGGATGACTGCAATCTTCCTCAGAGCACTGCGATGAGGATCCAATGAGGGTATTCGTGTAAAATGCCGACCAATATTTCTGACACACAATAAGCTCTTGATACATAGTAGTTAATATTATTGTTGTTCAACATGGATGTGCTTGGAGAAACTTATGTTGAGTGAAATAAGCAAAGCATAGAGGGATAAATACCACATGTACTCAGTCCTAAGTGGGAGCTAAGAGAGAAAGAAGGAAGGAAAGAAAGACCACAGTGGTGTGCTGGACTTGCAGAGGGAGACAGCATACCTAGGGATACAAAGTGGAGTGGGAGAAAGGAGGATGGGGAGGCAGGTCAGAGATAATTGGTGGGATAATTGGGTGGAGGACACAGGGTATAATCACAATGTGTGGTAATGGGCATGCTGCCAGTATGGATCTGGCCATCACATCTTAGGCATGGGTGGTGACAATTTGCTTTGTACCCCATGAATATTCATAACCAATTAAAAAAACCACGAAAAAGAAAAAAAAATACATATATATATATATATATATATACACCATTGGGATTTTGTCTGGAATTTTATTTAAGCCTTAAATTGAGAAGAATCTACATTCTCTAAAAATCTGTTTTCCCATGTAATAATGGAATATGTATTTTTCATTTTCTGAGCCTCTGAGTTTAATTATTTTTCTTCTTATAACTACCTCAGATTCTTCTTTTGCCTATTTCTAGGCATGAAATTTTTACCCTAAGCATTTTTTCCCAACTAGTCATTGCTTTTAATAGAAAAGGTACTGGATTTTTTGTTTGTTTATTTTTAGTTTATGTACAGTCAACTTCCTGAATACTCTTTATGTTCTTAATGGTTCTGTATTTTATTATTTTGGGTTTTCTTATACTACACATCTGTTATCTGCAAGTAACAATAATTTTATCTTTCTGATAGATACATATTTTATTTCTATCTCAATGCATTGAACAGGTTTCTTGGCGTACTGTTAGATAGTAAAGAGATAAAACGAAAAGAAACCTGTTTAAGATTCCCTTTGAAAGCAAGGCCATCAGATAAGACCAGCCCCACACTAATTCTCTCCCTCTGGCCACCTCTCCAAGCTAGGTCTCTTATACTATAAAGGAGAAGGATTTATTTTCTGTAATAGACTTTGAAGCCACATGGCACACTCTTAAAGGAGGATTTCAGAGGAAATGCTGTCATTGCCACCAGTAAAAAGGAAATAACAAGGGCCAAGATCAAATCCCTAACCGAGCCCTCTGATGGCCATCATGGTGCACAGGATCAAATAAGATCAAAAGTTTAGGGGTCAAATTGTATTCTCTCTGCGTGACTTTTATATTGAAGATATCAAAAAGAAATCCTAGTGAATAGGAACTTGCAGGTTAATAAAACATGTAAATAGGTTGAAACCTTGTGCTTTGTGGGAAATAATAGAATAAATAACAAAGAAGGGTCAACATTTAAGAAAACAGCATTTTCCATAGAGGTACCAAGAAGAAGTCTGAGATAGAGACAAGGGTCATTCCCCAGCTTCCCATTATAATGAGAGGGTAGACTGGAAGATGAACTTACTAATGAAGTAATCCGAGGTATAACGGGATTCTGGATAGGTAGGGTTGACTCCATTAACTTGATATGGTTTCACATCCTCTGCAACAGACAAGGAGGGAATGAAAAAAAGAGGTCCATGGGCAAGTAATGCTTGGCTGCAAGGATCTTGGATGCAAGGAGCACAGTGATCTCAACCCCTTTTCTAAGAAATCTGCATGTTCACTTACTGAGTTGGTGACTGAGTCTATCCTGACTGGGGCCTTGTCTCGGGATGAGATCACAAAAGTATGGCTAAGTTTATGATTTCAGTAGCTACAAAATGGGATTTAATATCTTGGAAAGAGAATCAGTGAGTAATCTCTAGGGGCTGGGAAAGCATCCACCCTCATTCTCGATGAGTTTATGCTGTGTGTATGTGCACCACATGAGAGTCAGAGCTTGAAGACGCCCCGGGAGGTTACCAAGATCAGTCCCCAACACTCAAACTGAATTCCAAAACTTTTCAGAAATATATTTTAATCTTTAGGCAGGTAGATTTTATATCCTCCATTCTTTTCTGTTTTCCTCATTGCCCTCAGATTTCAAGTTCAGGCCCAGACAAGAAGCAGGACACTGGTAAGCTGACTGTATCTGGTGATATGTAAGAGGAGAGAACAGCACCAAAGCCAAACTGCCACCCAGATGCCAGCTTCCCTAGGAGGGAGAACAGAGTGGTGACGAAGGCTCAGGACTAGGCTCTCCACTGAGCTATGGTGAGTTTGGGATCCTCTAGTAACCCTGGAATCAAATGGTGTAGCCTCTGATTCTTACAGAGTAGAATGATTATATTTCACCATAAGAATCAGACATGAAGAGAGAATGTTGGCTTGGGTTTTTCCTTGGGTACTTGATAGCTTGTTGGGAACAAAGACTGATGGGAAAACAAGTTTATGCCTGTACAGAAAAACAGTTCCCAGTTGAGATAAAATAATTAAACTTTGCTTTAGCAGCTTATCAGATTAAAACATCCCCTGTACCTTTGGCCTTCTACCCCACCCTAAACAGCTATGTTCTTTTGGTGCTATGTAGCTTTAGTTTAATTACAGAACAAAGCTTCAGTCTCAATACAAGCAGCTTGCTCATCTCGAGTATCCAAATCTGCAGGGGATGATTCTTATTGCCTCTCTCAATAGAACACTGGGTGGGATGATATGACTTTTGTTCTCAATACTGAATTATATCCTAATTCCCTTACATTTTCTTAAATTATTCCTTTGTAGGAAGGTAGGTGAAACCCACTTTAGGAGCCAGAAGTTCCCCCCGAGTCCATATTATTATACAAAGAACACAGAACAGAAAGTTAAATTTCAAAAAGACCAAAAATGTTAAATAAAAATACATATAAAAGTTACATAAAGTAAAATTTAAGGAAACAAGTGACATTGAGGAAATCCTAACCTGAGGCTTATTTTAGGGACAAGGACAGTGGCAGCACTCGCCCATCCTATCTCACAGAGTTGTTCTGATAATCCAAACAGAAAATGTATTTTAAAGCACTTTGGAGACAAGGAGACACTTCGCAGGTATTAATTATAACTATGATCACAGACAGGCTTAGACACCCCAAAACACCTGGCAGCTCCATTGTGATGAACAGAGGAAAACATTCTATCCATAGACTATATTCGGGTTACATGGTCTGGTGGAATTTGCTGATGTGTTTAGAAGCCAGCAGTTTAATCAGATCTGTTTGGAGCCTGCCGTATCTCTTCTTTCTATAAACAGGTCGTGCATGTCAACACCTATGTGTGGGCGTATGTGCAGTTACACAGAGAACACGCCAGTGCTTCGGGGAAGCCTGTATTGCTGCCTGCCAGTCCTTGGTTAGGCCAACCACAGAGAAATTCACCTAGTTCTTTACTGAGTTTATTTACTTATTATTTTTCAACAGAAGCTGAAGAGAAGGAATAAAGATAACATTTCTGGGCCCAGAGGAGTCTCACTTGGGTTTCTCTTGAGCATTGCAGAGCGAAGAACATTCTTAGACAAAGGGAGGTATTATCTGGAATGAAAGTGTTAATCCTGAGCTTATGCCCTTCCCCCAGCAGCTGCCAGGGGTTGGAGCTGGTGACCGCAGGGAAGGGTGGGCCTGGGTTAGAGAGGGCAACAGGCTTCTAGGCTTACAGTCAGCTGGAGGGCACTGCTGACTGCTGGTAACTGCAATTTATTTTAAGAAGAAATTCAGAAAAATAAGTGCAAAAACACCCAAGTTTGCCGCCTGCTGCTGTTTCTATACTCAGCCAGGACTGTGGTACATGAGTCACTTGGTCCAAAAAGGTTGGAAGAGGCTGGTAGAAGAGGCCGTGTCATTACAAGGTTGCAACACAGAGTCCTGATATAACCCCAGTCTCTGCTCCAGATGTAAAAGGTACACTGACTGCTGCAATTCCAACCCAGTTAGTGGGCAGAGAAGCCTGTCTTATTCATCACCTCTGAGAAGCTAACCTCTCCTGGGGATGTGACCGGGGAATGTGTGTTAAGATTGCCGGGGGAAATACTGTTCTGGGGTTGGCTGTGGATACTGCTTGTTGAAATAATGCAGGGGTCTGAGATAAAGATTGGGATCAGAATTTTGCCTACCGAGAAGCATTGGGAGTACAATCTTGCTAAAGATTAAAATCTGAACCCCCAATACAAAGAAGGAAAAAACTAACACTTAGTGAGCACATACTATACACCAGACATTTTATTAGGCTCACCCCCATGGACCACATATGCTGCTGAGCCAGGACACCCACAGATAACAGCACGGATAGCCCACAATCAGGTAAGTTCCCCGCCTACTCACAGCAGCCCCACACGATCTCTACCTCCCCGTCTCCATGCATTTACCTTTCTGCAGGATCTCTAGATGTTCCCATAAGATGTCCCCAACAAAGTCTGGGGCCAGCTCGAGAAAGCAGTCTTTACCCAGGGCACAAAGGGCTGCTCCATTCATACAGAACTTCTGGAAATCCACACCCTTCAGGCTGAACTCATTCACAGCCCACATCACCCAGTCCCGAACGTGGGTTTCTGTCCACTGCCGGGGGTCTGAGGGAAGAGATCACATGAAGATCCAGCAGGTCAGATTCTTAACTCTTACCTGAGCCTCAGAGAGGACACTGAGGACCTGAACTTAGCCAGGGATGCTATCCTATTTACAGAATTGAGAAGCAATGGTCTGTAAATACCTATCATTGAGCACCTTCCATAACCCTCCTTCCCGTGTTAAACATCCCCACCTCCTCTATGCTACCAGCTAGATCACTACCATCAGCCAAAAAATAACACACAAGTATTCTCTGACCTCCATCCAGGCAAAGATTTCCAAGAATCTCTCTCGCTGCCTTATTTCCATTAGACTTTTTTAAAAGCTCTGGACAAGGGAACGAAGGGCTTCTTTAATAAGAATAATAACAAAATAAAGTGTTTTCTAGGGATTGCACATGCCTCTCCCACCCTTAACTCTTACAATATACTTGAGACTATTATTCTCAATTATTTTTATGTTAGCCAATTATGTTTAGTAATAATTGCAGCAATTAGTAAGTCATTCAAATGGCACTTGGAAATAACAACATCATTAGGTGTTCTTAGGATATCTTACACCAGATATCCTGCGAAATCTGTGCATATCACAGGCTCTGCTTTGAGTAGCACCTTAGTACAGATAACACATAATCTTCATACATGACCTGAGGTTTAATATGGCTACACCTGCCAATGACACTTCAGAGTACAGATGATGGCAGGTTGTAGTGCCCATGTCATAGCTGTTACAAGGATACCGCCTACAATCCAGCAGACTACTTCATGGAATGCTGGAAAACCCAATGGTCAGAATTCACTTTATTCTGCCTTGTGCTCCTCAGAAGATGTTTGGCTTTGCTGTCAGCTGAGGTTTGTGGTAAAGAAGTAGGCATGGGAAAAGGTGTTGAGATACATTCACATATCAATCTAAAGCCTGGGTCTGATGGGACTGGAAGTCTCTCATCTAGCAGTCAAATTGGCCTGATCTAAATACAGTAATACTCTTCCTCTTTAGAAAAGTGTTCTTTCTGTTCTCAATTGTTCATGAAATGCTCCTTGGGGAAGGTTACGTGTTCTCCAGTCAGTCAATTCTCCTTTCTGACAACTCCAGTCCCCTTATACTCCTGAATAAACCCTTTCAGATAAAAACACCCAAGGACAAACACGTTTTGCCAAGAAGCAAGGAAGAGAAAAGAGAAATCAGTAAATTCCAAGAAATGCAGCTCACCGAGTTCATCCAATGGTGGCCCAGAGTCACCCTAAGACACTGCTTTCCAAACTTGCCAGCACTTTGGAATCACCTGAGGAGCTTCAACAATCCAGATGCCACCAGCAATCAAGATTTAATTGCTCTGGAATATAGCCTGGGCTGTGGCTGCTTTCAAAGATCCAGAGGTGATTCTAATGTGGAGACAAGTTTGAGAAGCACTGTCCTAATACCAGGATGGCAGTGACAAGCGTGGAAGATGGAGAAGCATCAGCGCGTGTGCCTGTGACTGTTCTAACAGATGTCTGCAACTACCCATTGCTGTTGATTCAAGTGGGGTTAGTCTGATGTTGGCCTCACACACTACAGGTGAGAAAATAAACCTGGCCTACAGGTCTGGCCCCAGCCTCTCTTTTCCCAGCTGCAAAGATGTACCTTTTGGTATTCCCAGTCGTTGCTGCTCTTTAGTGAAACCACTGAAAGTAGCTTTCAATGCTTGCGACATCATTTCTTTGCTACTCGGAGTTAACAGTGGGACATCTGCACATTCCATATCTGTAAGAAAAAAAGAGCATATGAATAACAAAAATTAAACTGGTAATTTTTTCACTAAACATAATAGGGCATGAGTGGACTGAACAAGTCAAGCTAAGAACCAACCAATTTTACCCCCAGAGCAGGTAAAATTTAAGGGGCTTTCCAGTGTGCTAGGCCCCTTAGAAAAACCTCTTACCTAAAATGTCCTGCATCCCTGACAAACAAAATATATCTATTCTTTCTGTACACCTCTACTAATTTACCACAGTCCCTGCTTACCTTTCACCCTCACTGAAAGTATGAGTTATCACTACCTACTTTCAGTAACCTATGAAAAAGAAATAACATTCACTTACTCAACAGATAATTTCCTAGCACTTGCTATGTGCAAGGACTTAGAGAAACTGCGGTGAACAAGATGGAGAATGCTCCTACCATCGAGGAGCTAGATATGTGATTCTTGCAGTAGACTCAGTCACTAAAAATCTATTAACACAATTAAAGGTTCAAAGACAAGGTCAATAAGGTCTTTCAAGAAAAAGTACAAGATGCAATATCAACACAGAACAGGAATCCTGCAAGTCTGGAGGAATTGGGAAGACCTCCCTTAGTAGATGCTCAGAGATGTTTGACCTGAGAAGTAAAGGACGCATAGGAGTTTTGGAAGAAAATACTCTAGACCAGTGGTTCTCAAAGTGTAGTCCCCAGAGCAGCTACATCAGCATTACTTGGAAATAGTTAAAATGCAAATTCTCAGCCCCATTCCAGTCCTACTGAATAGAACCTCTGGGTGTGTAACCCAGAATTCTGTGTTTTTTAATATAGAATCCAGGTGATCTGATGACCACTAAAGTTAGAGGACCCCAATGCTAGACAAAAGGAAGAGCAGAAATAAAGATCATGAGATGGGGTGTCAGGGGAGTGGCTTGATATATTTTAGTATCAAAAAAATCAATGCAGCTGAAGCACAGTGATCAAGGAGCATGGTTGCTGGAGACAAAGCTGAGGTAAGCAGAAAGCTTGTTGAGGAATTTATCATTTTATCTTAAGTAAAATAGAGATGCTTGAGAGTTTTACACAGAGGAATGACAGGAACACATTTTGTTTTGAGAAGCTTGCCTTAGCTGTTCTGTGTTTAGGAGGTGAGTTTAGGCGGTGAGTATAAATGGATACGGGAAGACTTACTAGAAACTTACTGCATTCATTCTGGTGAGAGACGATGGTGGCTTTGACTGAGGAGGTGGCAATGTAAATAACAAAATCAAACAACGTGAATGAAGTGCATAGAGGATGTAAAATCTATAAAACTTGATTTACGTAAGTGGTGAAGAAGAGTGAGATATGAAAACCTACAGATTTGCAAATGTGTCATCATTGGCCATGACCATGTGTATCTTTATCTCTGCCATCTCCAGTCCTCCTATACTTGCAGACCAGGTTCACAGAGCAGGTACATGAATATGGCTCAAGTTAAACATCTTCTGAATTCACTTCAGTCACTATTTCCCACACAAAACTTATAAGCAAAGAAATTAGCTGAGAATCCCTATTAGCTTTCCTTTGACTCTTTGGCAGCAATACACTTTACCACAGTGATTTCCAGAAGCCTGGATCTTCAGTGTGTCACATGAAATGGCTGAGTTCCAGGATAGGCTACTGCAGAAGTTCCCCATCTCTAAAAGACTGGCTAGTTGAAAAAATTCCTTAACGTATTATTGGCTGAATAAAATGGAAACATATAGAGAAAAGATGGCAGTTGGTCACCTCCAAAAAAAAAAGGAGCAAATATTGCCTCTGAATGTCAAAATGAATGGAAATCACATTGCACAAAAAAGGGCAGGCAGCGCTTTCCCTCCTGTCTGCCTGCAGCGATGCTGTCAGAAAACTGGAGTCCAGGCTCTGCCCTGGAAGAACAGCAGGGCTCACTGTAGCTGCCCTCCCAGGCCCTGCCAGTGATGGGGAACCTGAAGTTCCAGGGAGTGGTGAGCTTGGGTTGCCCTGGGCCATGCCCCAAAAAATCTAGTGGAAAAATCACCATGCCTCCAGGAAAGTTGACAAAATGATGGAAAATCCCAGATTGTTGGGGGCAAAAATAACAGGGGGAGGGGATAGAATGTTGATGTTGATTACATAACACCCAGCCCTCAAACAATGGAGTAATCATCTGATGAGTCACTGAGGAACACATCAATGCTCCCCTTCGTCCCCACTCTGAGCATCCAAGAACAGCTCAGTGCCAGGTCCAGGAATGTCTCCCCTGAGAGCAGACGTCAGATTCACTGTAGAGAAAGAGACTCTTGAGTTAGTCAGAGATTACTGCTTCCAAGAGAAGGGACAGCTGCAACATCCTCAGCTCCCAGCACATGGCTGAGCACACACATCAATCAATGAATGTTCAGTGAACTGAATTTTTCTGAATTTGAACCAACTTTCCTCCCTTCACTCCCATCAAACACAAATTCATGAACTTGAATTATGTGGGTTTTGTTCGTGTGTTTGTTCCTTCCATTAGATTTATGACTCAATGAAAAAGACTTTACCGATGGTGGAAATTGGCCAGGACAACACGAGAAAACACAGGCCAGGCCAAGTGCACAGGCAGTGGTTCTGCTGCAAACTGGAAGTGAAGATGAGACTGGCCAGGAGGCTCCAGGCATCTTCTAAACATGAGAGCTTGGCAGTACGAAGCCAGTGTGATGGGAAGGCCAAGGAAGACTGTGGAAATGCTGAGAAAGAGGTTTCCCCAAGTCTGCTTCCTGTAGCTCCACGTGCTCTGGCCATACTCTGGACAGGGTTGCTGAGCGGACGGTTCCCCACGCAGGTTTGTGCTTCCTCTCTAAGAGCCGGCATTTCCGGGTTCTCACTTGTTCTCTCCCAGGAAACAGCTGGATTAACTTCTTCCTCTCCACCTCAGTGCCATCTCTAAAAGCCCAGTCCACCTGCCATCAGCTACAGCCACACAGGGCTCGTCAGGGGTGCCGGACTCTGCCACTCTGGCTGTGGGACTCATGTGCTGGGTCTCTTGAAAATTGCTCACAGCCCAGCCAGTGGAAACCATCTCCCCACACATGAGACACCTGCATTTGGACTTGATGAGCTCCAGAGAAGGCATATCATTGTCCTTGGACCCAAACGATGATGGGAAAGTAAGAGCTTTACCTATGTTTATAAAGTGTGGAATTTTGCTTTAAAAAAGAAAATCAAACTGCCTCTATAAATAAGTAAATAATTGGCCAGGATTGTCTTTTTTCACTGGTGTGGGCACTACACTTAAATGATGATGAGTGATCATGTTCAAAAGTGGATATAAATAGAATATAATAAACTCATCACATAATATACTAATGCAAAAATTCCCTCTATTTTGCTTGCTCATGATTGCAGCAGTGCTATTAATCACACTGATACATAACAATAATGAACAATAATGAAATCACCAGATGGAGAATCTGATATGGTTTAGCCCAAGCAGACATCTCTGTTATTCTTAAAATACTTTATCTCATTACCTATTATAATACTTTTGCATTAGGTACCAAATATTCCTAATTTTAGGATCAACATCTAGGAATTAGTCATACCTCCATAGACATAAACTAATAGTATTTCATGAAAAAATACTGAAATTGCCTTTGTGTTAATAATTATAATATCTTAAATTCAAATAACAAATGTTTGTCTCAAAATACTGAGAAGCTAACCTAGAGAAACACTATGCCAATGCAGTGGAGATTATAAACGCAACGCACTGGAAAGTGAAGACATAAATATATTACAATCATATTAGACTTCTTGCCCATGGATTACTCCTGAGTACCCTAAATCCGAGTTAGTATCTGTAAGAATTACCCTAGATTTCAGAGAGGAAAGTTGTTCAGAAGCTTGTGACTAAATAACCATCCCAAGACTACACAGTTATCAAGGCAGAAGTGAGCAGGGAGCTTTCCTTGAACTAGCAGGGGTACAGTGAGGCACTGGCATTTTGAATGTAGGGAAAAATCTGCTCGTTTTTCATTGTGGCCTAATCCTGAACCACCTCCTAGATGTTTCAAGTGAAGTGTTTCATTTACATGTAACTCAAAGTTAAGGGCTGTTCAGTTTCCAAGAAGCCTTCAAGGGTGTTTCATGTGTCTTTTCATACCATTCTTTTGAATTCTTTGAAACCGAATGGCTCATACCAATACCATTACACAGAATCTGAACTTAAGGTGGCTTTTGTTTGGCAGGCCTTACTGACCTCACAAATTTCTTCTCTCACCATTCTCAGTAAATGACAAAGAGAAGACTGGACCATGTGGGATCCTAAGATTAGGTGGTGAAGGATACAGCCAAGAACAAGAAATGCCAAGTGCATGTCCCAGTCTTGTGTGACAGCTGGGCTAGGCCAAACCCTACCAGATTACAATCACACCAGCCGTGGGGGTTGGGTATTGTCATGACCACAGCAGCATGAAAGGAACACCAAAAATGAATAATGTGCCTTACATCTAAAAACTACTTTACAGTTCGCCAAAACCCATCACATATACCATTCCACAATATCCTCACAACATGAAACTTCTGAGGGCCTGGAAAAGTGTTACAGGGCCCCCATTTTACAATGAGGAAATGTAGACTCCAAAAGATCAAGTGCTTGCCCTAAAGTCCCAGGGCTGGGAGGGATCAGCCAGGGTTGGAAGCCAGTCTTCCAACTCTTAAAGTCCAGTGTCTTTCCACTCTATTCCACTGCAAATAGGAATAGATCAGAGATCCAAGAAAACTAGAATTTTTCAGAGTGAGAAAGAGAAAACAGGACTTTGTTTTTTAGTTTGAGAATCAGATAAATTCAAGGAAATAATTAAAAATTTAAAACTGTTCCAAGAAACCCAGAGTTTCATTTGGCTAGCCCCATAACGACATATTAATGACCATCAACAGAATCAACTGTAATCTTTTCCTTTTCTGGAACTAAGGGTACTGAGGCTTCCTTCACATGAAGCAAACAGGTTAAATGACAAGCTGGCTTCCTTCCCTGTCTG